CATAGACATCAACAACATAGACAATAACAACATAGACATCAACAACATAGACAATAACAACATAGACATCAACAACATAGACAATAACAACATAGACATCAACAACAGCAGCAGTGCGTCATGATAACACTAGTTTAGCTAAAAATTGAAGAGAAGAACACCGAGCCTATCAGCAGCCATAGATTTCTACACTTAGACCACTGCACTGCAATGGACGTCCTTATCTCTCCTCCTTCTTCCGCTCATATTATATCAACTAATTGTGTTGCATGTACCGCCGTAAAACTGTTACTATTTACTAAAACAATTGGTCGATATCGCGCTTAGATGTAGATTCTAGATTCAGGGCACCAAACTCTTACGAATTACTAAAATAAAAGGTCGATATCGCGTATAGATTCAGGGCACCAAACTCTTACGAATTACTTAATTAAAAAGTCGATATAGTGTATAGATTCAGGGTACCAAACTCTTACGAATTACTTAATTAAAAAGTCGATATAGTGTATAGATTCAGGGTACCAAACTTTTACGAATTACTTAATTAAAAAGTTGATATAGTGTATAGATTCAGGGTACCAAACTCTTACTAATTACTAAAATAAAAGGTCTAAATCGCGCATAGATTCAGGGTACAGTGCTGTATGGTGCTGTGTGGTGCTGTATGGTGCTGTATGGTGCTGTGTGGTGCTGTGTGGTTCTCTACCGCGCCTCAAGATGAAGACGCGACCGCATCGAGCCTCACGGTGTGCAAACATTTAGCATTCCCCGCGCCAAAAGGCAACCGTCCTCACCCGCTAACAGTCAGTGGTCTATCTATCGTAATTCGCGACTGTCAAAACATCACATCTGCCTCAATTCCTCTTAGAAAATGGACGTTTGTTGCAGGGAAGAAGGGATGAATAATCCCCCCATTTCCACCGCGTGTTGTATCACTCAAATACCCCGGCAGCTCTACCGCGGGGATGTTGATTTTTCCCGTTTTCATTTCTAACCGTCTTTTTACGGCGTGTTTGATGTGTACATTGGGAGGTTGGTCCGTTGTTTTGCCGGGTTAGCGTGATCCCAGGGAGTGGTGATTTGTGTCTCCCGTTTCAAATCTCCCCTCTTTCCCTTCCTTTCGACTTTTTAAAAATTCTCTTTTCAAGTGATTTATTTGAAGAATCCGTATCTATCTACCTGTGTCTATATTTGTGCGGAGATTTTTTTTTCTTGGCTTGGCGATCTTGATGAGATAAAATCGTATTTTAATGAGTAATATGACGTGCACGCATAGACACATTCACAAACACAGTCGCACACACGC